AGGCTATACAATAGCTCCTCCTACAAGGGATAAAGTCCCACCAATTTAGCCACCCTAAAGCCTTTGTAAAACAGACTGGTGCAGGAGTTAAAGCATAGCAGTGTTTACCTATTTTAGAATGGGACTTATTCCCTGAGGCACAGGGAAAAACCTCAAGGGAGATGGAAACCGCACCAAGAAGAAAAAAGAAAGAGAAGAGAAAGGATTCATCAAGCAAAGAAAAACACAAAAGTAAAAGTAAGTACAAGCTCACTCATGTGTCCTCAGTTGGCTACTGTTCCCATCCCTTAGGTTCCTAAGCGCGCTCTCTCTCTCGCAACAGAATTCTTTCCCTGCCCCTTTTATTTTCTTATTGTTTGTGAAAGACTAAGGAGTTTTGGGATTGACTGTATACGTGTGAATAAATGGGTGATGGTGCCCTTTATAAAGCCTAGTATAAGCAGAGGGAGTCCAGCTTCCTTCGGCCGCAATGATTCTATAATGTGAAGGGCACCTATGCTTCCTCCAGTATACCTATACAATTTCAAAGTGCTTCAGGTCTCCCCTAGCGTTGGTGACTCCTGTAGCCATTCTAGTTCCCCAGCTGGAATCCCTGAACCATCTTCCTCCTGGTCTCACGATTACCAACCACTGGCGCTATTCTGAGCATAGCCTTTCCCTACATGTGCACTGGTGCAGGTTTATTTAAACTGGTGCAATGCCCTCTGTGGACGTTCTGCTTTAGTTTTATGAGTGACTTTTTTGGGTTTTATTTATTCCTGTTCCTAACTGATTTAAATGAAACGGAAAGAAGCCTGGATTAAACTGAAATAGGAATGGATACTTTTTGCATTAGTTTCATGAAATTGGTTTAAAATCACACAGTTAGTTAAACTGGGACAATTCAGGGTGTCCTTATCAGAGTTCTGGCAGTTTGAGTACCCTAGCCGCATTGTTATGCTTGGCTTTTCTTTTTAGTTTGTCCTCAAGTCTGCATTTCCTGGGTTTCTAACACTCAGTAAGTGGTATCTGCAAAGTTCTGACTTTTTTAGCTTTAAATTATTGATATGTGTGTTCAGCCCTATTGCCAGCTTACCCAAGCTGTTTGATGGAAACACATATGAATTCTACCCACTTGCTTTCTTTTTCTTTAATGGACAAGTACATCACTTTTTAATAATTTTCAAGCTCATCATGGTAATGGGTCAATAGAGTTTTTCCATGAGCTGGTAAATTTGCATGACAACTTTACAATCACTCTCAACCAACCCCATGCAGTGTTCACTGACATCAGACACATGCATTCTGACAGACTGGTGCCTGAATCCATACAAAGTGGTGTTGGTTAAGAAATATGGGCTGGAGGAGCTGGCTGAATGATGCAGACAGTGGAGGAAAGCCAATTTAGAGAGAAGGATATAGGGGAGCGGTTGTGACAACGGCTAAGATCTTGGTCAGACAATGTTATGAAGGGATAGGAAGTTACCTACCATAGTAACCTTTGTTTTCCAAATACATCATCTCTGCAGATCCATGGTGATCCTCCTTCCACAATATTTTGAAGGCTTAAGGCAGGAGTTCTCAAACTGGGGGTTGGGACCCCTCAGGGGGGTCGCAAGGTTGTTACATGGGGGGGGGTCACGAGCTGTCAGCCTTCATCTCAAACCCCACTTTGCCTCCAGCATTCATAATGGTGTGAAATATATAAAAAAGTGTTTTTAATTTATAAGAGGGGTTGCACTTGCTATGCGAAAGGGGTCACCAGTACAAAAGTTTGAGAACCACTGGCTTAAGGGATGTGTCTGTAGCTAGAGAGGAACCGAGGGATGAATGCATGTTTTTTATACCCTTAATAGAATGCTGACACAAAGGGGAAGCAGGTGCGGTCTTGCTTCAGCTTTGGTCTTTATGTTGCTCCTGAAAGAGCAGTAATTCACCACCATTTCCTATGGGTGGGGCAGTTATTTCTTACAGTCTCTAATTTCTAAAAATAAAACCAAATCATAACTAAAACTTTTTTTCAAAAAGCCTGATTTCAGGTCGGTGGATTAGAGGTTTGTTCATAATGGCTGATTATTTCTTTAAGTAGTGGACTTGTGGCTTTAAATAATGGACTATTTATATAATTTATACCACAATCCATTTTGTAATTAACAAGACATCTACTCCTTTCTAATGAATGTTCCAATACACTGATTTCCTCCTCCCATCGCTCTCTCTCTCCAATTGTTGTTCACTCCTTTGGTCTGTGTATTTGGTATTAACTCACTAATAGGCTGTCTCCTGTAACATGCTCATCTTCTTTATTTAAATGTATTAGCTTATTGGGTCCTCCAGCGTGAATGTATTTATGCTGGACCTGAAAACTGTATTCAGCTGTTCAACTCTGCACATCGTTTATGGATACCAAACAGGAATATACTGGACCCGGCTCCTAAACTGCTTTCTTTTCCATAATCCAGAATATTACTTTAGTGCCATATATTCTGATAAATTATTAACCACTGTATCATATAATAGTGAATCAATTATACTCTCTTGTGGGACCTCATTTTGTGTCCCAGAAAATTAAAAAGGCAATACTATTAGAGGGGAATAGGAATTTAGAACCAGCTATGCCATACAGACTGTTCCTTAGCCCAGGACAAATATTGTACTGGTGACTAAGCAATTTCTGCTGTGGGGTTTGTCATCGGGCATGACTGACTGCTGCAGAACAGTCATGTGACACTCAGTCTAGCTTTGCTTTCTGTTCTTAGAAAGGGACCTCTTCTGTGGTCAGATGAGCACTGTAAGAAGAGAAGTTTCCTGGCTTTTGGTGCCAGTGACTTGACTGACGCTTTTTAGCAGCTTAGATCATGGTATTCAGTAGCACTAGTTGTAGGGGAGGAATCCTAGGCAATATGTATTTTAGAAACAAAGGAAAGTTGCTTTGTTATTTTTATGTTCACACATTATGTATAGGGTGCCCACATTTTCAAAGTGAAAAAGCCAGGACCACAGTAGCAGGGAAGGAGGGGAGCATGTGATGGTTTTGGTGGGGTGTCAGGGTTAGGGAGGTGTGCACAAAAAGGCTTTGGAAACTGTGGTGGGGAGAATTTGTGCACCAGGGACAGCTGAAACGAAAGGGTGGCAATGAACCAGGTGTGGGGTGAGAGTGCAATCGTTGAGGCACATGTCAGTTTCATTTGCTTAGCAGCCTAGTGGTACCTTTATGTTGCTACCATATGCAGGAGTTAGGAAAGCAGCATAAAACGCAGAGGCTTTTTTATGCATGTAGTAAATTAGAAACAAGGACAGACCCTGACCAAGTCCAACAATTTCCTGTTTTTCAGAGACAAGTAGCCAATCTGATCATATGCACTTTCAAAAATAGCACCATAATGGCACAATTACCTTTTTTCCCATCTCCCCGAAACTGCACAGCAGGGGGCTGGATGCTGACTTCATTTGATTATCTAAATAGGAATACATTTGTTACCATGTCTTAAACTTAGATCATATGGTCCTATGGCCTGTAGCATGCAAGACACAGCAAAGGCCTCTTGTTTTGGTGAGTTAAAACTGACTCTAGATTCCCTGCTCAGGGCTGGTCTACACTACAAAGTTAGGTTGATCTAGCTGTGGTAGCTCAGGGGAGTGAAAAAATTCACTCCAGAGAAACACAGTTAAGTTGACCTAAGCCCCAGTGTGGACAGCACTAATCGACAGAAGAATTCTTCCATCACCTAGCTACCACCTCCCGGATGTGAATTTACTACAATGACAAAAGAACCGCTTCCATCTCTGTAGCGTCTATACTACCGCAGCACATCTGCACCATTTCTAGTGTATAACAGTATTTTGAATGGGGATTGTTTCCCCAATATGGATATTTGCTGAGTGTGGGCACGCAGCTCTTGTATTTTTCATACGTCCTCTGATGTTTTCTCTACCATACATACAATCACCTCTGAACCAGTCATTTTGAGTACAACCCTCATGTCACACCCACACTTTCTTTCCACCAGATGTGGAAGTCTTCTGCTATGTCTTTATTGCTGCATTACTGCAAACTGACATCAGAAACAAAGGAGCTGGAGACTAAGGCTATGTATACACTAGAGAGCTTACAGCAGCTCAGCTGTACCGATGCACCTGTGCTACTGTACGATCTCTCTATGCTGATTGGAGAAAGCTGTCCAGTTGACATAATTAAACCACCCCCAACAAGCGGCGGTAGCTATATCGGTGGGAGAAGTGCTGTGTACACACTAGCACTTATGTCGGTAAGGGGTTGGAATATTCACACCACTGAGCAATACAAGCGGTAGCGTAGACAGAAAACAGTGTGGATTTAAAAAAAATGCACCCCCAACAGCACATCAATGTGGGGGAGACAACAGGGCAGATGCATGCTTTCAAAGGCCTGTGCCTTATTTCTCCTTGCCCTTATTCTGGGAAACCTTGCAGCTGTGATGCACGTTAGCAAGGGTTGGTCGATTACCCCAACCCCCCCCCCGTCTCATTTCTACCAAAAATGGTTTCCCCATCCCAAGAGCGCGAGAGAGGAGATGGGGATATGGTCTCGCAGTATTCAACATCCATTCCCACCTACAGCTCCCCTCCTCCTCCTCCTCGCAAGCATCGCCTCCTGCCCCTTCTCCGCCTCTGCCCCAGCCCCCTTCTCTGAGTATTTCCCGTACTGCTTCCTGCCAGCACCAGCCCTCTAAACCGAAGCCTCCTCGCCTCTCCCCGTCCCCGTCCCCGTCCCCTCCCCTGAGTGGCCCCCAGGCTTCTCGCCCCTCCCCCCGCCTTCTCTCCTCTGCCCCTGCAGGCCCCGCCCCCGCCCGGCCCAAAGGACCCCCCCTTCGTGCCTGGGGTTGCTTTCGCAGTGCCTGCTCGGCGGCGGTCTCCTCCCCTCTTAGCCCTCCACCGCCGGGCTCCCAGCTTTACCCCGGAGGTGAGGTCGGTGTGTCCCAGCTGAGGGTGAGGTGTTGCCCGAGGCGGGGGCCGCGACGGGGCAGGCGGTTGGTGGGGCGGCCCCGGCTCGTTGGGGTCCTGCGCGGCGGCGGCGGCGGCGGCGGGCGGGTCGACAAGTCGGTGTCTCCTTCACTTCGTCCTCCACTTCGAGCGGCGGCAGCCAGCGAGGCCCCCTCACGGCGAGACCCGCCCGGCTCCCCTCGGACAGCCCCGCCGGCCAGGTGATGGGGCCGGCCCCGCCTCGGGGCTGGGGTCGCGGGGCGGGAGGGCTGTGTGAGTGGGGGGCCAGCCCGCGCCCCTCTGGTCCCTCCCCGGGATGGAGCCCTGTCCCGCTTTGCCATGCAGGGTAGCGGGCCACTTGCCTGGGAGCCCGGGCTGGGGCCCTGGCCGGGTACATGGGGGAGAGAGGGCGGCTGCGATGGCAGCTCAGAGCAGGGCCACGAGAGGGCCGGGCGGGCCGGCCGGCGGCGTCCTAAAATGGCCGCGTTCACCTTGCAGCCGCGGCGTGTCTGGCTGTGGGCCTTTGCGGCGGGAGCCCGTTCCCAGCCAGGGCGTTGCCTCCCCGGTCCGTCGCGGGGCAGCCTGGCCCCCGCGGCCTCCGCATGTATGTCTAGAGAGACATCACTCATCCTTCAATGTTGGTTTTTCCCCCCTCTTTGTAGATTCATTAGATTGGCCTAGCTATGACTTATCCTCCACCATGTATCCCTCCGCCTCCGAGACGTAAGTAGGGAAAGAGTTGAAGCAAGACTGTAGCTAAATAACGTTGTGGTAAGGTTAGTAGCTGTGTAAGATCGGAAAGGGCCGATGAATCCCGAACCCAGAGGGCTAACATCAGCCCAGCATTCTCCTCAAAAAGGCATCCATCCACTACAGGGCCACCCTTTTAGAATAAAATCCAGGCTTCCTAAAGTTGGTGTCAAGACAGTTTCTATCTGTCTAAAAAGGCGATCCACCTTCTGACACTTTAAAATTTGCATTCGTTCTCTAAGAATTGCTCAAGGTGTCTTTAATATGAGGGTGTGAAGGAGTTAGACAGAATACCTTGAGGGAAAGGTGTACTGTGGTAACACTATACACTAATTGTATTTCTTTAGGGTAGGTTAATAGTGTTTTCTTATGTGATGGTTAAATCACCAGTTATCTTCCTTCTTTGGTAAAGGGAAAAATTTAATTTGGGTTTTTTTGGGAGCAACCGTTGATCCCATGTTTCCAGGAATGCACAAGGAAAAAGGGATAGCTTGAAGCCAGACATCAGGGTGGAGTTGCTACTTGCATCAGTCACAATCAGGAACAAGGTTGTTCAAATAGTCGATTTCTCCTCATAAACTTACAGTTCATAAGTGTCTAGGATTTATAAGTGTAATGTTTAAAATCTACCTGGGTAATATTAATTAGTAAAAGAAACTGACAGTTTGAGACTGGATTGAAAAATATTGACTTCACTTGGGTTGGTTTTGTTAATTGGAATGGAGGGCAGGGAAGTAGAGGGTTGATGACAGACAGGGCTTAGCATTATTCTTTCATTGAAGGTAGCATTACAGGAAAGATAGTTATAAAAGCATCAAGGACACATGTTAACTATTGGTCCCTCATTTGATCTATACTAACATAAGACTAAAAATTACAGGCCTGCAGGTTAGATTGCATTTTAAGACATAAGGCCAATCTTCATGGTGGTATTCATGCAGTTATAGTCACCTTTTATTTGCAGGTAGGACATGTAACAAATATTTAGCAACTTATATGTACCAACCCAAATGTTTGTTACCGTAATTGAATTAGCATAATAATTGTATTAGTATCTTTCTAACTTGCAATTTTATAAATTTTTTGCTACCTCCTCTAATAACTTTCCATGGCATCTGCATTGTTTAGCGTAAATCTGCTGCCAGAGTATGAGACTGTTGTTTTGAATTTAAGTTGTACTACACAAAAACAAAAGGCTTATTTACTTTATCACTGCCAAAATGTTTTGATGCTGAAGGTTACTATAAAAATGAAATCAGACATAGCTTTTCCTTGGGTGTTGGTGGTTTGGAAGAAAGCCCCAAAATATATGGCTGAACACTTTCTAGCTTTATTTTAAAATGGTAAATGCGAACAAGAGCTGTTGTTGTAAGTCTGGCTGCACAGTAGGATGGAAAACAGCAACATTTCCTTTATTGTTTGTATAGCTCAATCGGAACAACAGCTGTTCATTTATAAACAATTGAAACATTTTCTAACTTTCTTTAAGGTGGTAACTAGTCTGCTATGGCAGCTTTTTAAAACTATATTTAAGTTGTCTATTATTTGTAACTTGTTTAATCAAAGCAATTTCAAATGAGCTGTTAAAACATTCTTCTGTATGTATGTGATCTGCTGTTTAATCTATAAATATTAATGACTTTTTTAAAAGGGCAGGTAGAAAGGAATGCCTCAATGCAATACCTAGTTTATTCCACATCCAGGATATACAACTATTTTGCAGAATAATAAGCTGGCCTAGAACACTTATCTAAGGGATAGCTGGACTATAGGTGAACCTACTAAAATGAGATTTAGTAACACAGGTACACATGACATAATTACTAGCACCCTAGAAAGGCAATGTTAAGTCCCAAAACAAAGTATTATCGTAACTGTTACTAGTTCCTGAATATTGAGTTTTCTCTTTACAGTAGCAATTTCTGGTACTTAAAAATTACAAAGCAACATTCTGAAAAAGTGTGAGTGCTTGAACCTTGCTTTGATCCCATGTGCTTTAAGACTTGGAGAGATTTCCAGAAATCAACATTGTGGAATTCCCATGGTCTTCTGCAGGAGTTGATTTACCCCTTTAAAAAAAAAATGAAGTGTGAGCTGTCCTGTTCATCTCAATAAGATGTTAGTCTTTGAAACCTAATGAAATACAATTTAGTGCTCCCCTCTACAAAACAGAATGGAGGAATTGAATGTTCTGGCATACAGATTAGTAAAAGTGTAAATTCCTTTGTACACTTTACTCAACAAGGAGGCAAACAGGTGGAATATTGGAAGCAGCTGTGTGTTAGTTCTTCATTAGACACCATGAACTTAAAAATTACGTGTCTGAAATTTTATCTATTAATTTGTAACATAAGATCACTACTACAACTGAATGAGATTAGAGAACTTTGTTTGCATACTTTGTGCTTTTGACGGCACTTCTTTTCTAGTCAGTTTCTCTGTTTCCCCTGTGTAGTTTCCCTTTTTGTTTTTGGCACTTTCACATGGGAGATGGGATATACAAACACTTCCGATATGAAAATGTGACCCTAGATTTCAAAATGACAGTGTCCCTTTTCTGGTTGACGTTTATGGGAAAGCTCCCATTGAAGGAGATAACAGCTTTGCATTGTGATGAGTTGTTGAATGGGCAGTGAAAGATAATCCTGAAGGCCAACATGAGGAGTTGCGTGGTCCTGGGTGTCTGAAAGAAGTGAGTAGTAACCACAAGTGTTCAAGGCACCCCAACCTGCCTAAGGCTCCGAGCCAGAGAGAAGTCCTATCAGAACTTTATTGTGCTTCTCCACCCATTTGACCTCACCTCAATCCCTCCCCAACTGGCTTATAAAGGCTTAAGCCTGCATGTTTTCCCCAAGAGAAGCCTTTATTTGACTTTCACTTTTCTGATAGCTTTCATTGGTTTGGGGGACCTCCACTTAGATTCCATCAGCCTAGCTTCTGTTACAGAAGTTGCTTCAGAGCAACATGGTATGTTCCTTCTTCAGCAAGACCTGATCACATTCCCTCTGCACTGCTCCCAACTCTTGCCAGCATGAAGAAGCGAGAGGTTGGACCACAGAATAGACTCAGCTCTCTCTTCTAGTAATGGGACGTGTTAACTAGAGTAACTAAATACTTTTTAAAATTTTAAAATAACAGAGATCTACACATGTCACTAAAAATTATGATAGAAGTGACATGGTGTTTGCAACAAAGAAGCCAAATATTTTATAGCTGACGAGTATAGGTTGTGTAGGGTTTCTATAAAGCTTATCAGAACAGTTGTTGAATTTAATAACTTTATTAGTGTTTTTGAATGTCTCTCCTTTAGTTAGATATCTGGTATTAAAACACAAGGCTATGTGTAGATGCAAACTAGCTACACAATCCTGCATGTTTCCTTTCAAAAAAGGGGGGGGGGGAATCCTGTGGGGTCTTAACAAAAATATCTCATGGGAATCCTGATTAGTACAGAGAGTCTGTTGATATCATTGCAATTTCCTACAACTTTCCCATCTCCCAGTTTGGAATGGCATCTTTCTCCTCTGAAAGCTTTTGTAATTTCTGAAATATGGAGCATTTCACTTTTTAACTAAACATTGGGAAATCCATGTTGGAATCTACATGGGGAGGAACATGCTGCACCTTGGTAAACCCAGGACACTTCGAAATAGTCAGTATTATTTCTATGAAAATCTGTAGGTGTATCATAAACTAAAGCAGTACGAGCCATCTGTTGTTAATTGTCCTATATATGAGTTCTTGTTGGAAGGCATAGTGGGTTTAGAACTAAAGATAGTTTATCTTTATATGATATGTTTCAATATTAATATACCTGTTATCTCTATCTTTCCAGCTCCAATGGCAATCCCTCCATCATATGCAGATCTTGGCAAATCTGCCAGAGATATCTTCAACAAAGGCTATGGTAGGAACAATACTTAAAAAATAACACACACACACCATGCCATATAAAGAAATGTCACTTTGCTGAAGCACACAAAGCTAACATTTTTAATTTACACATGTTCTGGAATATTAATTTGTGTGTGCTTGTATACACTGGGATAAACTAATAGATTTTATTAAATTGGAGGGAGTTCATACAAGAGCAGCGGAATGGTTAGAGACCTTGTGGGACTGAGTTGAAGAAAAATTAGACACACACACTGGCTAATTAGAAGTTAATAGATGGGGAAACCAGTATGTAAATATCTGAAGGATGTAAACAACAAGGAAGGAATGGATTTTATAGTAGAACTCTAGGGAGGAAGGTGTGGTCTTGTAGTTAAGACAGTTGACTAGGAATCAAGAACTGAGGTTCAAGTCCCAGCTCCTATGGCCTGGTCTACACTTGAAAGTTATACTGGAATAATTGTTGGTTAGGTATGGGACTTTAACTATATCTGTTTTTTAAAAAAACACATTATATTGATGAATCCCTAGGGTGAACACAGTTGTTATGACGTAAAGGTGCCATATATTGGTGGTGGTTTCCTGTGCTGTATTGGAATAGCTATACAGTGTAAAGTAGTTTTTGTGCTTGTATAACTGCATTCACACTTGTGGGGTTGTGCTGCTTAAAGCAGGTATAGTTAAAGCATCATGACTTTCTGGTATTAAAATGCCTGTGTGATGTTGGGGATCGCATTGCGGGTCAGAGTCCTGCAATGAGCTCCTGCTAGGCAGACCCCTGGAACCTCATAGACTTCACTGGGGCTGTGCAGAGCACAGAAGTCTGCCAGAGTTTATTGCAGGATTGGGGCCATAATCTGTGTTTCAGTTCCCAGTCTTCTGCTTAAATCATCTCTCTTTTCTCACACTCTTATTTATTTAGACTGTAACCTCTTCAGTGTGTGTTTTTTTTTTTTAACTTTGTATTTGGACAACATGCAGCACTATGAGACCCTAGTCTTGGCTGTGGCTTCCAGGAGCTACTGTAATATCAAATATAGAAACTTTAGGTCTGTTAGACTGTAGCTTAGAAACCTGTTTCTTGGGACATGTAATTGGACTTGGCTAGATAACTACGATAGGAAGCAACCTTACAGTGGCAAAGAAGTAGAGGCTATGATATTTCTGAAAAAAAACATAAATCAAATTATTTGCTTAGTATAATATAAAGTACAGCTAATTGCCAGAAGGGTGACAATATAAAAATGGCACCTTCTTAAATTTACTCCCTTTGCATATTTGGAACTGTATTTCCTAGCTTATTTGAGTCCTAACCTTTGTTAGCTCTCTTGGCTCAGCAGTGCTATAGAATGAACTGTATTCTAATGCTGATATGTGAACCAGAAAACTTCAAGCTAAATTCTGATTGCAGAATCTTTTACTGGTGGCTGCATAAAAGCCAGAAAGGACGCAGGTTGCCTTTGAGAAGCAGAGCTGAATTTGTGGAGTAGATGGAAACAAAAAAACTTTTCATTTAGTTAACTGAGAAAATATTCCCTAATAGTCACTGGTGTACAATAAACAGGCCTTTGCTATTCCTTTATTCACTTTAAAGTTTGAGAGAAAACTACTCAATTCCACACTGACTACAGATGTTTCAAGGTTCTTAGGATTTATACTGCTCTGGTCAATGGCTGAACTATTTTTTTCTTTTTAGTTTTGCTTAGAAAAATGCACACACTTTAAAAAGTACACTGTAATAACTTCAACTTTCTCTTAAGGTTTTGGGCTGGTGAAACTGGACGTGAAAACAAAGTCAGCAAGTGGGGTGGTGAGTTTTAAATTCAAAGCATTTTTGGTTAATGTGCTCTAATTTTCCTGCTTTTTAAAGGGAACTTTTATGGACAAAGTTAGCTAGTTGACAGAGTCCTTTGATAGGTGTTTGCTGCACAGTACACTTCAGAGGGCCATAGAGATCTGCATCTCCAAACATAAATCACATTGCCATGTATGCTGACACGCAGTAGTCAGAAGTAGTTGTTCTTTTGTCTTTGTAAAGTTGCTAAGCAGGGTATATTTTGACTGTCACTCATCTTGTGTGTAAAAATGAAAGAATAGCAGAACCATTTTTAAACGTAAAATTGATATCCGACCATACAGAAATTTAATTTAGCTTTCTGTGAATATTCTTTGGTTCCGTTTGTGCTCAATGTAAATCTCTCAAGACCCTGGTAGTACTGCTGAAAAGGATTTGGGAGTTATAGTGGATCACAAATTGAGTCAACAATGAGATGCACCTGTGAAAAAGGCGAATACCATTCTGGGGTGTATTAACACCAGTGTTGCATCCTTGATTAACATAGCTATGCTGGGAAAAGCTTTAGGATAGATAGTTATATCAGCAGAAGAAGTCCTTTGTCTGGTACAGATTTATTCCTTTGGGAGAACAGGTTCAAGCTGTACCAGCAAAAGAAGCGTGCTTGCTCTTTTCACCCCCCCCCCCCCCCCCAGTGCTCTCCTGGTATAGATATACTGGCAAACCCTCTTAAGTGTAGATAAGGCATAAGGTATTTATCACGAATAGTCTTCAGCCTTTATCTTGATTTATGGAATATCAGCCTGCCTTAAACAGTAGGTATTGCTTAAAGAAAAAAGCTGACCACTACAGGGAACGTGCTTCTTCATAACTTGAATTCCAACTTTTTCTACCCTTGTTTACTAGGGACTGCTACCATTTCTGGAACTCTGTGTTTTGCACAGACATCTAGTGGCTAAATAATATGCTGCAAGTAAACATCATTCAGTCAAAGTTAATTTTTCATACAAAGCTACCTCATTTAATCAATTTTAAGTTTGTTGTCGTAGCTAAGGTAAATCTTTAGCAACAAATTTTGGCATTCATATACATCCTGTATCTACAGGAATATCTATATAGTCCTTCAGTGTATGGTGAGATTGATAGAATACTCCAGAAATGTTTGGTTTGGTAAATGTTTGGTTTAAACATACTCTTCTCATAAAACTAATGCTCCCTCTAGTAGCAGTAAATGCATATGGTACCTTAAGGAGTGGATAGCTAACTCTAATGGGTGTAGAGAAAAACAGGACTTGTCTACATGGTGCAGCAGTGCACACTAAAGGGATATGAATTCTACAGCACACTGTGTTGCATATTAACTGGTCCAGATAGACCCTGCTGCCATGCAATAAAAGTTCCCTAATACATATGCCCTACTAGGGTCTACCTCGGCCAGTTAGTGTGCAACATGTTGGTGTGCTTTAGAATTCATACCCATCTAGTGTGCATAAGCCCCACAGCCAGGCATATCTTGGGCCAAAATTTAGACTTAGATTTATAATTTTTTTTTTCAATCAAAGACCATCAGAAATTTTTCCATATCATTAATAAAATTGCAGTGGAAAGACTATTTAACAAATATTCCCTGAAGCAGTTGCTAGCCAAGTACTTCAGCCTTGTGCCCATGTTTTATTTTTAGATTTTCAAAATACTGTAGATATTGACTACTCTTTCCATTCTCCAAGAAGAGAGATGCAAAGAGTAAAGAGCATAAATAGTGAGAGGCAACCAATGTTTATAACCTTCAATTTTAATAACTACGGTGCTGTTTGTAATATAAGTGCAATGTTTATTTTTAAATAACTTTTAGTGTAACAGTTACCCACTGAGAGTCCCGAATCTAAAAAATATAATTCTGTGTAAGGAATGGAAGTCTGTTAATAAAACTTACTATCAGTTAATGTCACAGTCTCAAACATAGGCAGTCTCCCTATATAATTATATTTTTACTTGGGAGTCCTGACTCACTAGTGTGGCTATTAAACTCCCTAGTTAAGAACCAATGGACTAGTGCTGCCCTTTCATCTAGAGACTTACGTTCAAATCATTTCTTGATTGCAGCTATAAAATTTCTTCCTCTAGTCCTTGAATATTTATTCATTTAAAATGTATATGTAGAGCCATCCCACAGTTGTAGCATGATAGTCTCTGTTTGGGCACTAAAGATTGGAACAATGATAGTATTATATGAGGATTACAGCATGTTGGCAGAGTTGTCTGGGATGCTGTCTGCACTGTGCCTGGCTCTAATAGTGATATTAATCCAGGGATGGACAAACTTTTTGGCCTGGGGGCCACATCGGGGTTGCGAAACTGTATGGGTAGGGAAGGCTGTGCCTCCCCAAACAGGGTGGCCCCCTCGCACTTCCCATGCCCTGACTGCCCCCCTCAGACTTCCCCCCCTGACTGCCCCCCCCTCCTACCCACCCAACCCCCCCTGCTCCTTGTTCCCTGATCGCCTCCTCTCAGGACCCCCAGCCACTAACCGCCCCTCTGGGACCCCACCCCCTATCCAACCCCCCTGTCCCTGACTGCCCCGATCCTTATCCATACCCCAAACCCCTGACAGGCCCCCTGGGACTCCCACACCTATCCGACCGACACCCCCCCCCCCCGAACCTCTGCCCCATCCAATTGCTCCCTGTCCCCTGACCGCCCCCCTTCCCCCCAACCTCCAACCAATCCAAATGTCCCCTGACAGGCCCCCCAGGACTCCCATGCCTATCAAACTTCCCCCTGCTCCCCATCCCCTGACTCAGAGTGGCAGGACTGGCTTACTGGAAAGCCTGGGAGGTGGGTGGGCGGTGGGAAGGGGAGGGAACAGGGGCTTGCCTCCCTGGCCGGGAGCTCAAGGGCCGGGCAGGATGGTCCCACGGGCCGGATGTGGGCCGTAGTTTGCCCACCTCTGTATTAATCCCTTCAGTAATGTGAGCACCATACTCACCTCTGTACTTGTAATATTTTTTTCTGCTTTTTAAGGAAACAATAACTTGAAATAAATTGCCTCGGAAAGAGGTGTAAAGCATGAACTACGCTGAACAGTATAGTTCAGTTGCTTATAGCACAATGGACTTCCTTGCCTTGGAATTGGGTTTTACATTTTTGAACTGTGCAGTGTCAGAGCGCACACTGCTATTTCCTGGTTAAGTCTGAAAATCTAGAAGATCCTTTTTAGCAAGTTGTTACAAAAGGGGGTTGGGTATAACTCAAACTGGCTGAACAGGACAATGCTACCTTATGGTTGTGTACATGGTTTAGTTTGGTTTTTTAAGTTAAAAAAGACCTTTATGATGTGAGACTTCCTGGGATGTGTGCAACTCAGGAATAACCTATACTGTCTTATTAGGAATTTACAACAGCTGGTTCATCAAACACAGACACGGGGAAAGTGAATGGGAGCTTGGAGACCAAATACAAATGGGCTGAGTATGGTCTGACTTTCACAGAAAAATGGAACACAGACAATACTCTGGGAACAGAAATTGCGATTGAAGACCAGGTAACAGATTGATATACTACTTACATTTAATTTTTTCACTTAACCAGTAGATCTGAGCTAATAGCTTTTGTTACCCTAATTAGATTGCCAAAGGTTTGAAGCTGACATTTGACACAACCTTCTCACCAAACACGGGGTAAGAGTTTTGTTTTTGTTAAGAGAGTACTTTTTGGCATGTTTAGGGGAATAACTTTGCATGTAAAGGTCAAATGAATATTTAATAAGTTAATATAACTATGTGAATGAAGAGTGTGTATATATAGGGCTTGAAATTGGTGGCTCAAAACTCCTGCTGTTAACCCAGGCTGTTACATTTGAATGTGGCTCCTTGGGACACTGAAGCAAAATGTTTTGCTCCTTAACAAGATAGTTGGCACCCTAATGAGAGAATTGGATTTGTTAGAATAGTAGTTAGGGCTCTGCTTGCACAAATATAAGAGAATATGTTATGGAAGATTGGGGTGGGATAAGGAAGTAAAGAAGTTTCTTCAAATGTATAATCCTTGTGTTTTCTGCAGCTTTCTAATGGGCTGTTGCATTTTGGTTCCATGACTGGTCAGTTATGTCTTGCCCAGACTTGACATCTGTTCTCTAATGGTCTTTGTGTGCCCACTGCAGGTTAAGTTAGTAAAAATTAGACTGATAGAGGATGAAGCCTTTGTAAAAAATAATTTCTTTGCTTCAGGAAGAAAAGTGGCAAAATTAAGTCGTCTTATAAACGTGAATGCGTAAATCTTGGTTGTGATGTTGACTTTGATTTTGCTGGACCTGCAATCCATGGCTCAGCTGTCGTTGGTTACGAGGGCTGGCTTGCTGGTTATCAGATGACTTTTGATAGTGCCAAATCGAAGCTGACAAGGAATAACTTCTCTGTGGGTTACAAAACTGGAGACTTCCAACTGCATACTAACGTGTAAGTATTAAAAAAAACTGTATTTGAGAAGCTTGTAGTAAGAATATTCATAAGTTTCAAATTCTGAATTAATAGCACTTGTTCGTGAAATACAGTGTCAAATATGCTCTGTGTGAGAGAACCTTGTAGAAAATTCACCAGGGTAACACATGAGATTTTCTTTACCTGATCAGTAATTACTTCTGTACCTCTTTTCTAAGTTTAGTGTTTATAGCTTGTTTTCTAACTACTTTGTTACATGAAGTAATTTCTGTAATATATGCATTGTAGTTTGCAAAGTATAGAAAGCAGTACTTGAAGTGTTGTATTTACAAAGTAGACTGAAGTACTTGACCCCTCCTTGCAATTGAGAAAATTGCATTACAATAATACACTTGTTCCCTGTGATCTCTTACAGGAAATAGTTATTAGCAGTTGGCACGATATCGTTAAATAAATATGCTTTGCCAGTGCTTTTAATTCTTAAGCCCTTTCCTTTAGCCCTGAAAGGGAACTTTAACATAGGAAGCACTCATGTTTATGAATTCTAATCATACATGGGAAAGCATATAGTTTTTATGTGTTTTCTCACCTTCCTGCTGACTTCTGCTTTTTAGCTATCCTGGTCCTACCTTAATTGTTTTTTGTATATTTATAGTTTTCCTAAAAGAATTCTCAGGTTGAATGATTGTGATAATGGTGCATTACTGATGTCTCAGTGATGTTAACTTAAATCTGCGTGGTTCCACTATGTGTTAGGGTAGGAAGCATCTTACTTGTATTCACTGGAGTCAAATCACACACTCTCTCTTCCCCCTCTCCGCCCCTCCCAAAAAAAAAAAAAGGGGGAATTAAGATAATATAAGTACATTTTATACAGGATTGTTCAGACTTGTAGTGAACTGCTTTCAAAGTTTATTAAAATATTTGAAAATGGTATTGCTTTTCTAGAATAAAATGTCCTTTGACCTTTTTCTTAACCGTAATGCTACTTAGAAACATCGTTTCCAATAACCACAAGATTCTTCTGAATATTTGTCTCTGATTTATAACTTGCATGTCTGTATCACACATTTCATACTCTTCATTAGTTTCAGAACTAAAGGGAGTTTTTTGAGATGAACTCAATGGAGCCAGGATTTTACCTAGGGTGTTTATGAGCTTAATTGTGCAAGTTGAATACATTAGTATCATCCTTAGCAATATAATTATTGGAGTGAGCTTCTTTCATGGACTCTGCTAAAATACCTTATTCTGCCTTGCAAGCTACATTTATCTGCTCTCCTTTTTAATGTCTTATACTGGAAAAATAAATTGTCATGTTTAAAGTACAAATAATTCCCCAGGTGAATAAAACTTTAAAAGCTAAATGTAAGTGTAGGATTTTATATATAATATACACACAAACCTGTAATTTAATTTCACTTGCAAATACCTTGCAGCAATGATGGGTCAGAATTTGGTGGCTCAATTTACCAGAAAGTGAGCGACAATCTTGATACTGCTGTAAATCTAGCTTGGACAGCAGGCAGCAACAGCACTCGTTTTGGCATTGCAGCTAAATACCAGTTGGATTCCACTGCTTCTATCTCTGTAAGTATGGCTTTAAGCTTCTTCTTGCTCTATGTAAATATACAACTGGATATCTTTTATAGTAGTATAAATATTCTATATTGATATGGAATGGTGAAGAAGTATGCCAGTTACTCTTCTGTATCACTAATGTAAAAGTCTGTAATAGCCCAGATGTTAACAACTAAATCTTGTAAAGTATGTGACTTTAGGTACATACAACAAAGTAACTGTGATTTACTTTTTCTACGGAAAGTCGTCTTACTATGCCTATAGTAACACAATTCGGTGCCTTACACACTACATTAAATCACTCTAGAGAGGTGGTTCAGACACTTTTCAGATTACAGCACCAGGTTCCCATGCTGAGAACTCTACTATACTAGTCGCACCCTATCTACAATAGAGCTTGGCTTGCTCTAGTTTAACTCCAGTTTTGAAGTGGGTAGTGTCGGTGCAACAGATTTCATTGGATCTAGAATAAGAGTCTTGCAAACCTGAACTTCTAGTGCTGGTGAACATACTATTGAGTGAGAACGTTACAATGATGGTTAGTATAGAAATGTACAAGCCCAGTAAAACTAAATGGCCATTCCTTGATTTGAGTGAATCAATGAAAACCTGTTTCTTCAACGAATACCATTAGATGTTGTGGCTTGTTCTGATAGAGTTAATGCCAGAAGCGTTTAAAAAAAAAAAAAAAAGGTGAATTGGCTCCCTTCCTAGAACAGTTCTAAACAAACATTTCAGGTAACAGGGATTGTGTTGGAATGTAGTTTGAAAGGTGAATTTCTGCCTGCCCACTCAAAATATATATATATATATATATTATTTTCCCTCTGGGATAAGAAGGGTGTATGTGTATGGTTTGCGTGGGGTGGGTGTATCCAGTAAGTGCAAAGTTACTGCAAAATATAAACTGGTTTAAGTTTGTGGTGTTTGTTCTTGGTGACAGCTGTTATAGTCACTACAGGATTATAGCAAAGAACATTCTTTCATGGTTTTCTTTGAATTGCTGTTTTACTCCGCTTTTCATTTTTGTTGCAGGCAAAAGTGAACAACTCTAGTTTAGTTGGAGTGGGTTACACCCAGACCTTGAGGCCAGGTAAATATTCTATAAATGAATCACTTCACTGCAATCATGTATTCCTTGTTGTTATGCATGGAACTGCTGTTGAAATATTTATCTATACACTCAATGCCAGTTAAAATTGATTGCTTCTTTTTCCTCTATTTAGAATGACTGTGTCTGCCATCTTTCTCCCTTTCAATCTATATTGGAGCTGACTTGTACTTTAACAGTTTCACATACCATAAACTAAAACTTGTACTGAGTTTGAGTTCTGCTTGGCTAAATCCAATGGCACTTCTAAAATATTTAGGCTAAGTGTGTCCTCCATTTTATTTTCCAGTAGGATGGATTTCAGCTGTGTTCCAAACTTTCAGTGTGGTGTTATGCTGCTATGACAACAAGCTCTAGTAATCTTAATTTAACCAGAACATTTTTGTTGGTAGTATCGTGGAAGGTCTAACCATCATTCCTAGAAAATGTCCAGTTATCTGGCTGGTATCCATTAATCAACTTCTTACAGCAGAGTGAAATAACTGTTTTTGTTTTTTGAAGACCTAATTGGCATTACAACTATTATGAAGATATTAAGCAAGTACAGTAACCTATACATCCTCTGATCACCAGCTAACACAGTTTATCTGTGTTCAGTTAATACCTTGGTAACAATGTTCTCAGTGATTGTCCATTTGTGCTGTTTGTTTAAATCACTTCTGGTTATAAAACATGATGGTGAATAACTAAACCATTAAGACCAGACTTGCATGAGAAAAACCTGACCTGTTTTTGGACTTAGGTTGAGCGGCTTCTGTCCAAATAGCATTAACACCATATACAGGATGGGGCAGTCTTGTGGAGCGAACTCATTCAGCATAGTTTTGTTTCAGAAACTAAGCAACTTCTGGTTTAGAAAACGGAGTTAACTGCTAGTATATTAAAACATATTGGGACTCATCTCTCTGATTAGGAAATAAGTCCTGTCTTATCTTTGCAGTTGAAAGAAGAGATAATGCCTCTCAATTTCAGCTGTATACCTTGGTTGATTGCAGTTGCTGCTTTTGTGGGGGAGGAGGATGAAATCCTAGGACAAGTATATGGGCAGAAGAAGGGAGATGGCTCTTTCTGCTCTTAAAAACTAAAGAAATTCCGAGACACAAGTCTGTTTGTACGCATAACTTAAAGATAGAAACCCTTTCAGGAAGGTTGCAGTTTGCAAAAACGCACAAGAAAATTGTTAGAATTAAAAACTAATGAGAAATTCCAAACCCTTCATGCATGCAGTTAAAGGTAGCTGAGCTGCTCTTAGTCTGCTCCATATCAATGCCCTGAGAAACTCAGACTGCTTTATCCATCCGTTTACAAACACTGTTATCAGACACTACTAAAAATAGAATGCTTTATTCTTAATTGCCTCGGGATTGTGCCTTCTTTACTCAGCAAACAATTTTACTACATTCATACTGTTTTCCTAATGAGGAACTGGTACTCCTTATTAAGGGCCTGATTCTGACTGGTACAGAGGGTTCCTTACAGTTCTATGTGCAAGTGCATGATCCATGTGACAGATACAGTATGTGTACAATGGAGACATCAAACCAATTCTAAACCAGGGCTATGTAGGGCACACTTACAAATTGAAAGCTTTATACGTACATTGGCTGTTAATATTGCATGCACAGGCTGGAGGATTTTTTCTAAATCTGTGATCCAAAACACCACTGTGTCTTGCGGGGGGAGCAGAAGTACACCAGGGAAGTTGGAATTGTTAAGTGGTGGGCAGAGTTGACATAACTTAATATTTAACTGTTCTGTATTTCCAAATATTTGGGTTTCTTGTAGATTTTTAACCTTACAGGTGACTTGCAATCGACTGAAAAAAACGGGCTTTTTCCTGTGTGCTGCTTTCTGATGCATTAAGAAAGCCTGAAAAGTTTTTGGGTTTTAATGTATTTTTTTTCTGGCTTGCTTCAAAACACTTACTGGATCTCCGATTAGAGAGAGTTATAAGTCCTCTCATTCGTGTTAGCATTCCTTTGTTCTGATCAAGGTTTTGGGGAAGGGAGTGAAATCTAAATCACTTTCAGTATACAGGATCGTCATTTGAATTTATTAGGGCAGTCAGAAGGGACTCGGTAGCTTACTGAACCTGGCCTCTTTCCCTACTGGGATCCTTGTGGGCTCAGACAAAAGAATACTTGACTTCCAGATTCTTTCTCTCTGTTAGGGGGAATAGTTTTAGTCGATGCAAATGAAAATAAGATGGTCTCTTTCATTCTTCACTGTCTTCCTCCAAAGGTCTTATCTCTGATTTTACTGGTTGCTGATTGCTCTTTAAAAAGCTAGGATTAAGGTAGCTTCATTTTGAAAATTGCACGTTTTTTTTCTCATGTTTATGGCAGTTGGTGTTCTGTTTGGGCAAATACATCTTGTGCAGTATCTCTAATCCTCCCTCTATCTTTAAGGGGGGGAAAAGCTATCATCGCACTTTTCCCAAATGGCTATCTCACATACATAGCATATTTTTGTGTGTGCGAGCTACAGTGTGGGAAAGGGCTCATTTCCACATTAGTTTGAGTCAATAAATGATCTCATAAGTCCAGTATATAAAACGTGCTTCTTAAATAGAATTTGCATGTGTTTTTTTTTAATTGCATTTTATATGCCCCCAGATAGTCATTTGGTACCTACAATTGTTGTTCAGCTTAGTTTTGTACAACTTTATTTTAAAAGCTGAATGGAGTTGATGTACGTAAGTGGAAACTGCTTTAGAAACTTGCTTTACTATTGAATTACTTCCTACCTTGGAAAGAGTATAATTGAACTTAGACTTGTGATTGACACAATGGTTAGCACTTTCAGATTATATGTTAACACAGGATTGTTTTAATCTTACAGGTGTGAAGCTTACACTCTCCGCCCTGGTAGATGGGAAGAGCATCAATTCTGGAGGTCATAAACTTGGTCTTGGTCTGGAATTGGAAGCTTGAAACAGCCGGAGAAACTGCTGCAAGGAAGGGATATCAGAAGAATTCGGCCTTAAAAAATGTATTTCCAATGTGATCAGCAGGCTTTTTTTCCCCAAGAGGGATGACCTAGAACAAGAGCTGTATTCAAAGTATTTTAGACAGTTACTTGTTAGCTGGTTTCTAGTTAAATTGGTTACCTATCTAGTTATCAATTCTGCATTAGTGCAGTCACTTATACATTATTTAAATGTATTTAACTGTTTAATGCGCTACCCACAAATAATGAAATAGACCTTTATGAAAACTGTACAATTGTGTGCATGTTTGTTTTTATGTTCCTTTTAACATTTTGATATTGCCATTGAATGAGAAATGGATCAGTGGATGTTTTGAAATGAGGTCAGCAATTTTGTTAAATCACCTTAATTAGAAATACTTTTGGTATCCCAAGGCAACTCAAATTATGAATAAAACAAATACACACACATACTTGTGCCTCCAAATATTTTAAGAGTTTAGCTGTTGATAGGGCTCAGTGAGCTGTAGTTTACTTATAAAATTGTTATAATGCCACACACCTCAGCCATCAATGATCATGAACTTCCTCCATTCTGGGCCCAGTCCTTTTGACCACATGTTGGAGCAAGCAGGCTTCTGCTGAGGACAGTTGGATGGGAACTCCTTCAGGAGCCAGTGAACCTCACCCTTAATCTATTGCTGTGGTATGACAAGGCCCTCTTTCCCTATTCTCCAGTCCTCCTGTCCCTCCGTGAACAAAGTGAACTTTGTCCGGTACTCTGTGCCTGCTGGTCTGGAGAGTACAATACACTCCACCATCTGACTTGAAAAATGCCCCCTACATCTCCCACTAGCGTCTGACGGCTGCAGAGTGGAGGCCCACTGAGTACAATCAACTGGCCATGTGAGCAGGACTGTTAAGCTTCTATTTAGAATGTGTGAAAGATACAGTGACTTACTTTTAATCCTTCGAGTGAGAAATAGAAGATAAAGTTTGCGTTTTCCCTTTGATGTTACAGTTCTTTGCAAGTATCAGTGAATAAATGTGGTAACTCCTGAAGTTGTTGCAGTAATGCAAGTGCTAAAAAGATTTCCTATGTATTAAAATACAGCTCCAAGTGGAAGAGAACCTTGCTAAAAGGGATACTGGAAATGAATGTGCAGTGATCCTCCTAATGTAAAAGTCTGACTTTAAGGTCACAATTCTAGTTCTGAATTCGATGACTTATAAATAAGGTAAATAAATATACATATATTTAGAAAATGCAGTCCACATGCTGTTAAACAGACATCCCCCATTCAGGGGGCCGTCTCAGGGAAATTCTTCTCCTTGCATACATTTTACGTGCTTTGAACCATATAGCCACCTTGGTGTACATCTGAATTTACACTACTAGATGGGAGGAACAGCCTGGAAGACAGCATCTGTTCTGGGGTATTAAACAGCAATGTGGTAGACTTTAAGCTATTTAAATATTTACTAGCATTTCCTACTAGTCACCATTTTCAATAGGGTGGTTTCCTGTTTTGTTGTTTTTTTTTTTAATCGCACGTTTACTCTTCTTGTGATAAGAGTATTTTACAGCGAGTATTACTTGGTATGAAAGGTGGAGATGATAAAACATCAGATTAGAGCTGAACTAAGGCATATAACTTGTTACACTCTTCCCCAATTACCATGGTGACTTTAAGATGATACACGTAAGCCTTGTATTTTCATTAAACTGGTTTAAAGACTGACTTTTGCAGTAATTCTTTTAGCTATAGACCAGTGTACAGAGAGACCTTAAATGCCAAAACGAACCAAGCCCAAATCTCAGATGTACTTCCCAGATATTCAAGCTAGCTTTCTGAGAAGTGAAGAGTTCCCCCCTCAGTGTGCATTGGGTTCCCTGCTCCACACATGGTCTTAGGGAAAACCGACTAAGCTCTTGGGAGTATAGTCCTCTCTGCTGGATAATTTCTTAATCTTTTTACGTTTTAATATACAAAATCCACTGACACTCCAGGATAAATACTGCCCTCCTGAATACCTGTGCAACTCTTCATGGTGTCAATGGGATTTGTGCACCTGTATCTAAAGTGACCAGAGATGATGTGTGAAAAATCAGGATGGGTGTGTGTAGAGGTAATAGATATAAGAAAAAACCCTGAATATCTGGACTATCCCTATAAAAGTGGGACATCTGGTCACCCTAATATATATGGGTATAATGATATATATATATATAGAACTTGCAACATTTGGTCTCCACCTCCCAGAGTTGGAACGGAACCTGTTTGCACACCATAATTCAGTAAAGTAAGGATGTTCACACTGAAGGATGAGATGGTAGGTCTTGCATGGCCTAGAGTTAGTCTCACACCTGAAACTATTAGCAATCACTTAGTTTAAAATTTTCAGAACATGACCCTTCTAATCATGGATGGATGGGGGGAGGGAGGCTAGGTGTTAGGGCTTCATCTCTGCTTTGTCCCAACCATGGCTGTTGCTGAGCATTCTTCACACAAGGCAGCGGTCGCAGAGTGAGCCTCGTGCCCCCCTGTTCCATTGGTGACCATGTGCTGCTTATGGCAAATAGTAGCCTACCAGGCACAGTGGTGGATGTGAATCTATTCTAAAGAGGTTTTATTTTTGTAGTAAAGAAAGTGGAGCAAATAACTACAAAATCATGCATACAAATCGGTGTTTGATTCAGCATGCTCATTCACTTTTGCAGGCCTGGCTCTTTCACAGAACGAGGTGGGGAAATAGGCATTTTTGCTTGGGAACAAGGGCATGAATACAGACACTTATGTCAAAGGTTCTTGCCCTCCTATTTCTAGTGCCACCTAAAGAGGAAGTGGACATCTCACTGAAGGGACCATCACATGTCACAAATATTGGGCCTCATCAAAGTGAATTAAGTCCCAGTCAGACCATTGGCAACCAACCATGTGTTAATGCCGCTTATCTGAAAAATTAGCGATCAAATTGGCAAAAGCCAGAGTCTGGATTCTTGAACAGGAACAAGTGCTAAATGTGTTGGATAAAGCATTTACTACACATTATTTTACCAGCTGTAGTAAAATGGTTCTTGGTTTTGATACCTTCATTCTTTGTTTTAGTTTTGGCCTCACACCTGGGCTCAGAATAAAATAAAAAAACAAATCTAAAAATTGAGTTAACTGATTTCTTTTGCTGTATGACTAAGTTTTTGTGATTGCAGGGCAGTAGTTGTTAGGATCTTCAATCCTCAGCTGCCTGTGTGTAAAAGTCAAACAAAAAGCAGTAAAAAGTTGGGAAGCTTTTGCTATTCTAAGCCTGCCCCATATAGTTTTAGTTTGTCTGTAGATTGTTGGCTTTTTGCAGTTTAATAGTGACCCTTGTGCACAGTTTACATGCTGTTGTCCTGTTTGTGAATTATTTCTAACTTTGTGGTCTTCTAAACACTAAATGTGCCAAAATGCAGGGAAATGTTTTTTGGGAGGTGAGGGCATGGGGAGGGGGGAAGTTCCTAAATGAGCCAATGGAGAGAAGAGCTGCTGCTAGATGTGTTTGCAGGTGCAGGAGCTGTGGAAAATCGGGCTAGTGTCATAGTGTGTATTTAATTTTTGTGTACTGTGGCATTCGCCATTTCTGAGCAACCTGCTATGCTTGAAATGGACACAAGACTGCCCACATGTAGCTCCTTTCATTCAGGCATCTCTGAGCATTTTAAGAACACTGAGCCTCAAACATCCAGTGGGCTGGTGAAGCTGGGGATAGACTTCAAATGTCCAGCTTGCTACTCTAACTATTAAAGAACGTTTCCTCCCCAAGAGTGTGAAGCCCATGGGTTAAAAATGTACCTGTTAGCAGCTGCAGTGGAACTAGTGAGTTGCACCTTAAAATAAGATTTCAGGCTTGCTCGGCTTTCTTCCTGGACTAGTTGCTCAACAGTATGAATTTGGATTGAAAAGTAATATCTAGGTTTTATGGTCTTGTCTGTATGACTATATCATGCTGACCTGGAGATCTAGGATGTGCACGGCTTCAGGCAACAGCCGCCCCAGGAGCAGGTGCTGAAACTACCGGCAAGAGGCTGCAGGTGTTTTACCTGCTTCTATTCCTGGGTGAACCAGCTTGTGCTTGCTGCAAGGGGTGGAACAGGAATGCTGCTTCATCTCAGAATATGGCAGTGACCCTCAGTGTTTTCTCCATTGATCCATGGACCATAAAGAAGTAAACTGAAGCAGCTGCAATTTCATCTTGGATGTGGGGAGAGGGGAAGTTCTAGAAATATTGACTTAGGTCCTACTTCTGCAAAGCCTCACTGCATGTGCTGGAGGTGGCCCTACTGAAGTCAATAAGCTAACAATGGGACTGCTCGACAGGGCATAAAGTTAGGCACCTGTGTGACGTTATTTGCATGATCTGGGAATTGCACTTTGGAGAATTGCTGTCATCCTGAAAAGTGCTAAAGTGCTTTCTAGAGGCTAAAGCAAAAACTTCACCTGCTGTTTAAGAAGATTCTCATACTACTTACCGCTGAAATGCAGCCACCTCTGGGCTAGAAAGGAACTGTAACACTGTACCCAACACATCAGGAGATGAAGAATACAAGCCACTTAAAACTATATAGAAAAATTTAGGTAGACAATGTAGTTACATAAATTAGAATTTGGTTAGGATGCCACAGTTACACCTGTTCCCTTAGCTATTTGCCTTATGAAAAGTACAGAGGGATCTTTAAAGACCACAAGTGGTTAGGATTTGTCTCCCTGCCAAACATTTGAGCGTCACCTTTCTTTATGGGCCATATCTATCCATCCATTTTTTAAAAAGCAGAATTTTCCACTAAAATAAACAGGGAACATTGCTCTAAAAATCTGTGGGCCGATGACCATAGCATAAATACTCAATAGCCCCAGAATTCATCAGTTTTAAGAGGTGCACCCAGCCCTGGATCTGTGGGCAGGACCAACAGGCTCAGGTGGTGGTTCATTGCTGAGTTCCTGTGGTACTGCTGGACATTGGGTGATTATTTTACAGCTAATGAGTATATTCAAGCATGTAAAACAATCCAGTACTATACCAATTCTCTTATAAAAGCTCAAAAGCTGGGTGTGCTTCACTGAAGGGATCTAGGCGTGTGACATTCTGCTGGTTACAAACATTGCATCTGCAGCCAAGATTGTTCACGTGAGTTGGGTGAAGGCAGCAACTTGCAAGTAGCTAATGAACTTTATCCCCATAGGTTTCCATAGTAGTGTTGTTAAAAACCAACCATAATCATGTCTTTATTTGATATGTGTATTTTTGCTGTCAGAATCATATTGAAGGCTACATGCAGTGCTTAAGGAATAGATATTACATTGGTTTGGGTTTTTTTTTGAAGGCATTAAGGCACCTTTCATCTGCCCCCTGCTAAAGCAGCATTTTTTAAGTGGACTAGTCAGTGATTGGTGATGCCCCTGTTGGGGACACTGGGGCATGGCCCCTAGGTAAC